TGCTTACAATGTGGAAAATTATCCTTTTAGAAATCTTGTGAGCTTGTAATTCAGAACCAAATTTATAGCTGCAATATCTATTTTGATATAATATTCTTAAATGATAAGAAGAGTATTACGGTTAATTTTGGTTTTAGAAGTTGTCCAAAACTGTTCATATTGCAAAAATACGGGCATTAATTTTCCACTATTTTGGAAAAAGAAGCAACCAGGTATAAAAATTACTTAAATATTTCAGCTGTCTCTACTGTATATATACATATACACATACACAGTAATAGACATGTATATATAAGATATGTATGTATATATATACTATATACATGTATAGTTTTGAAATTGAACATTAAATGACTTTAGGGCATAAGTTATCTTTTCATGTCTCAAAAAATAAAGACGATTTCCTTTTCTGTGTTTCCTTACATAATGCTCTTCTGGGGGGGTGCTTCCGCAGGAAGCGAGTCACCCCTGTTTAGATATGGATACATGAATCCCATATTTTTATTCTGCATTCAAACTCACTCATCATCTCTAATGCCCTTGAAGCAATCTCAAATTACTGTTATTACACGGGTCACTAGAAACCAGAGGCACTAATACAAATTTTTTAAAAAGAGAAAGGGAAAAAAAGCACCACACAATTAGATGCTGGTTAACGGCTGAATCAATTTGATTTTATCACCAAATCCAGCCCTTCCTCTCGAGCTGTCAGCCAGCGAGATAAGCGGAGGGTGTGGGGCTCCGCCGGCCGCCTCTCGGGGCTGTGTCCCTCGCCGGCCAGGGTGACACCGGTACGAACAGCCGTGGCACTGCAGAGGCTGAGGAGCCCACGGCCGCTCTGCCCTCATCCTTAGCACAATCTTTCTATTTCATTAATTTTTCATGGATTTTCATTTCACAGCAAGCCGGCACCTGCCATCCATCTGCTCGACTTATTTTGTTCCTTTAGCCAACTTTTTATTTGCATTTCACAACATTCAGCAACCTGCCGGTTCTCCACGCCTTCCCGTGACTCATGGCTTTACTTTTAGAGAGCTCCCTCATGCTCAAAATGCATGTTCAAGTTGCTAAAACTCTGTATAACCAACCATGCTAGAACAATACCTGAATTTCAAGTTAACTTATTTTGCTGTCAAATGCCTCAAAGAGGTGCCCTGTGCCCTGTGCCGACCCGGGCGATGGCAGGTGCTATGTAGCCAGTCACTCCCAGAGCCCCTTCCCCTTTCCCGTCTGTGAAGATTGACACGCCGCTTCTAAAACGCCAGCCTCCAGTGCACCTTGTGGAACCAGCTGATTTTGGATTGGTTCTCAATCTATTTGCAGATACGTTTGCCTTGAGAGAGCCTTTTTCAAAGAAACTTCAGTCATTTTACACATTGTACAGAGTAATGGGCAGAAGATTAAAAATGTTTCATTTGCAAAATGCCTTTTATGTCAATGGAAAGCTTCTTTTAGAAAAAAACGCATTCACAAAAGAAAGAAAAAGATATACAAAACAGAATATCTGCACTGTTTGAATAACTAAAAAATTCAAGAAATTCCTCATACATATTACCCTGAAGTTATCCCAGGGTTCAGAGATTTATTGGCATATTTTAAAGTGATTTATTTTTATATAACATACTGTTTTGATGAGTTCTGCCTCTTTCGCTATCTGGTTGAACTGATACTAACAAAAAATTCTTTAAACATTTTTCTTTTTTTTTTTTTGTTAAAATGTATCCTTTTATGATACTTACACATTGAGTTATTTTCTAATACAGGCAGGTGTTACTCTCTATAACTACATATATGGATTTGGTTGTACACAATCACCTCGTGCAATTCTACCAAGAAATATAAAATAACTTGCAATCTCTTGGTACTCTCTGTGAGAAATGAACTCCATGGGTATTTGGTGATGGCAGGTAAGAGTCTTCGTAAACTCCAAGCACTATTATTTTCTGAACGGCTCTGAATGAGGCAGGCGCAGGACATACTGACGTGTCTCATGTGTGTCATGGGATATGAACCTTGCTTTGCCATAGATGTAAAAATGAGAGAGGTTTTCCCTGTCCTTCTCATAGCTTTTCTTTTTTAGCAGCTTGTTTTTCTCCCATAGAAGAGTCAAATGTTGGCAGTTTTCATTTACGTGAAACATTTAAACCATTTATGAATAATTTCTAAAAGAAAGTCCCTACTGAAAAACAAAACAGAAAATACAAAACTGTACAACACTAGGTCCCAGTAAAATAGCAGAAGTAGGATTGATGTGTGGGGAGACATATTCTGAGAATCTTCTTTAAAGTTTATCTGAGAGAGAAATGCAGGTTCCTGCCAAATAATACCTGAAAGTCATATTCTGTGACCAAGGTAGATTTTTTTTATTTTTAAAGATACACACAGCTTCCTTTGTGGCGTGGTAGCAAGAATATCATTACCAGGAAGATGGATTGTACTTAATGCAAGTATTGTGTCATGACCACACTTCAGCTGTAGCTACGGCATGCTTTATTTCAGAGCTCACAGATCATTTTGATAAGAAGCAGATCATGCCAAAGTCACTCTCAGAGTGCACATATAGACAAGGAACCACATTTCATCACACTGGGAAACTAAAAGTTATCATGCATCTTCAAAAATGATTCTTGTCCCTTAGGCTAGGTGGAAATACACATCTCACGGGCAACAAGGTCAGAATGTATCTTAATGTCTTTATTCCCCTATAAAAAGAGCCTTTACTTTGTGCTTCCATCAGTGTCTTCAGTACCCAATAGAGCCACACCAGAATTCCTTAACAGTCTCATACACACATGGATTTTAAATTGTGGCAAGTACAGAGTTTTAATATCAGGTAAGCTTAAAAGTTGAGGTTATTCTGTTCTTTTATGGTTGTTAAGATTCATGACAATTAGGACATAATTTAAACTAGCCATGGTTTTTGATAAAATAGAAAAAACAACATCTGTAATAACTGTGTATCATAGATGAAGTGATCGATTCCCAGTAAAATGCAAATAATTATTTAGCGTGTCTCTTTGCTGGCTGTGTCACCTTTTAATTTGATCGGGTGCATCTACATGGTTACGTTTCCCCAAAAATGGAATGTTTAGCGATTTGATTTGACTTTCCTATCAAGATAGCGGCCGGCAGGTGCCATGGGAAATTCTCCTGACACCACAAATCTCTTCGTAATAGAAATCAGTGTACAAATCCTCAATGCCCTTTCCCGCTTTAATTTTTGTCTATGAAAATTAAGGGACTTGATATATTCAAAATAGCCAAGGTATGGTACTATTTGGTATACGAATTTTATTTTGAATTGCTAAAGTTAAGTTTATAGCAAACGACGTCTTTCTCCAGATTCGCCTTTTTCTCTTAAATTGAATACTTTCTAAGCTAGCACGACTGACATTCATGGCAAGACAAGTGAATTTGGAGAAAGGCTGAACTTCCCACCAGTTTCTATTTCTATAAACTGCTTTATTGTGAACTATTACTCCACGTTCTTCAACTCTAAATATCTAAATAGACTAAGCAAAAAATATTGGGAGACGTGAACACTTGAAGTATAGAGATGACACTTTCTTTTTCCCTCTTTTAAAAGTCGCATTCATTATTCAATCTGGTGACTTTCTCAATAGCAACGCCACTTTGTGTTGGCATTATCTTCAGAGGACACTAACAGGTCTGTTTCAAAATGATAATTTCAAATGACAAAGTGCATCGCAAGCACACACCATAGCAGCTTGAGAGTTAAAGGAGAATCAGAACATCAACCCCCTCCTGAAACCAAAGGCTCTGAACCCTTTAGAGGAAGTTGTGGGGCCCCATACCCTCCCCGTGGTCCTGACGTTCGGTCATAGTCAACGACTGTTTGCTATTGCCATTGTGCTTCAGACTGTCTGGATAATTTCTATTACTGGAGGAAGCAGTAAATGTTCTGGTGACAGAGGGCACACAGGAAATAATGGTCTGGTGGAAACTTGTCTCAGGCCAATGCAAAGATGAGAATTCTCCAGGAAACACGGACAACTGCAAACACATCTAACATTGCCTCCTGCTTTCAAACAGCTGGCAAGGCTGATCAACGCTGGCTGTGTTTTTCCAACTGTCTTTACAGTTCTACATTCCCTTAAAATACCGGCACATTTCAAATCATGCTAAGAGCTGAACTTTCTCCTGCAGGCTCCCCAGGAGCTGACAGTAACCCAGGTTCCTCTCTGGGAGAGAGGAGGCGGCATGAGAAGGATCTTTTCATCTTTCCGTGGCACCGGGCGTCGCTCACAGCGGAGCAGTCGCTGGTTCTGCACAGCCCCGGTGTGAGTGCGGCCCTGGCTAACTTCGGCGCGGCCCAGCCCCAGCAATCTCATAACAAGGCGCAGCCTGGCAGTTTCTCAGCGGCAACTGTCGCCAGCTGCTTTTCCTGCTTTCCTGCTTTGCAGGCTTTTTTCCCCACCACTAACAAAATGGGATGCTTCTTTCTCGTTCCAAGGATTCGTTTCTGCTTATTTCTCCGAGGACGAGCCCTAAGTTCTCTGTAGGTCCCAGTGTTTACAAAACGACGGGTGTCAAGGACTCAAAGCTGCCAACCCACCTGGGGAGGCGGCCACGGGGCTCCGCCCGCCCCTGCCTCGGGGACAGCTGGGATGGGGTAGCCCGCGCGAGGGCTCGTCCCCCGCTTTTGGGGACGCTGGCTTAGGTGGGTATTTCCTTTGGCCCCGGGAGGGTGGGAGGCGGTGCCAGCCCCGTGTGCGGCGTGGGGACCGCGGGGTCCACGGGGGGCTCCTCGCCGCCCTCTGTCCCGGTCCCCCAAACGTGTCACTGAGTGAGGCGCTGCTCGCTGTCCCTTCTGCGCGCAAAGAGCCCCCTGACCACGGACACGGGGATACAAACGCCCGGCGCCCTGCACGGAGGGGCTGTCCCGCCAGCGCCCCGAAGTGAAGTGCTCAGAACAGACAAGCCCGGAGCGCCCAGCAGAGGCCGGGGTGGACGCAGGGCCGGCGCCGCGCGGTCCTTACCTCTGCGCTTGGAGCGCCGCCGCCTCCTCCTCTTGGACTTGCATTTGAGTTGACTGTTCAGCCCTCCGGAGCCTCTGCCGCCCCCCAGGACCGAGGCCATGGCCGACACGCAGTCGCGGAGCCCGGGGCGCCTCCGGCACCTGCCCCTCCGCTGCCTCCTTCCCGCCGCCGCGGAGCTTCTGAGGCTGGAAACCGGGAGCGGACGCTTCTCAGGACGGAGCAGGAGCGCGCGCCGCGTCTCTGCCTGTCTCTCCCGGACGGTTCTCGGCGACCTGCTCCCGCCGGGCTGGGCGCGCGGGGCGGGCGGCTCCCCGGACCCCGAGGGCGGGAAGGGCGCGGGCGTCCTGAGCGCTCCCGGCTCCCGCTGCCGCCGCCGGTCTGGGCTCCGGGCTCGGGGCGGGCGCGGGCGGCTACTTTTGCGCCTCTGCGAGTTGTTTGGCACCAGCCACTTTGAAGCCGATCGCGCAGGGAGCTCGTCGATTTGCTGCCGCAGCGTCTCCTTAGATCCAATCACCGCCGTGGAGGCCCTGACGTCAGCGGCGCCCGGCGGCCTCGAACTAGGCTCCGGCCGGAGGCAACGCTCCCCGGGAACCCGGGCGCAGCGCGGCGCGTCCGCGGCAGACGGGCGGCCTCCGGGGGGCCGGGAGCACCGGGCTCTGCGGCCGCGGGACGGCTCGGCTCAGACACAGGGACCCGCAGCTTTTACGCAGTTGATTCACGGCCGGGCTCCCCGGGCCTGTCTCAGAAACGCGGAGACGGGGACCGAGGCCGGCCGCGCCCGCGGGGCCGGGTGTCCTTCCTCAGCCCGGTGCGGGGCTGCGCCTGCGGCTTTGCCGTTTTCTCCTTCCTCTCTCCCCCTCTCTCCGTGTCCCCGGCCGTTTCCTCTGCAACACAGAAACAGACGGAGGTTTCGGGATCTCAGTCTGATTCTTACCGTCAGGAATTTCATGTGTTGCTTTATTTAGGAAACAATGACACAAAAGGAAGAGAGGGCTCTCATCGGAGAGTCTTGTTGCCAAATGTAATACTTGGATGAAAGAAAGTAACATCTACAAAGAGGTGCGTTGCACATTGAAATGGTTATAAGCAATTTTTTTTTTTTTTCAGGAATGGCCTATGTTTCAAGATTATGACCATGGAGCCCTAGAAGACTTATGTAAAATATAAAGAGGAATAAAATCTGGTAATCCTCATTGTATCTTGCATTTAAATGACATCAGCTTATAATAGTCATGATTTAAAAAAAAAATCCACTGTAAAATTCATTAGCACATATGAACGTGTTGATATAAAAATGGCACACACATATTACTGTTATTCACTGCTTCATGTGCACCGTTTTCAAGCTGTTTATGGGCCTAGAAATTTCCAGATAATTTTTATTATGAGAAAAAATCCCTCTGGGAAACATTGGAAATAATTGGGATGTTCCTGTGTTGTTATGTGGTGAGCTGATAGATAGCAGCTCAGTTTTCATCGATAAGAGAGCATAAGACATTTGATTTCAAATCTTAACTCCACTGCTATGAACCTTGGGCAAGTTAAACCGTACCTCAGTTTCCCCATCTGTAAACTGGGGATCACAATGTCACCCACCTCATAAGTTCATTCATACTTGTGAATCAGTATCAACCAGTATAGACAGGAACGGGCACATATTAATAACTCTATGATTGTTGTTTTCCAGCAAATAATTTGGAAAGAATGAGCATGTGTTACAGATAGGCCTCAGAAAGACAGGGCTTCTGTACTTTCCTTTCAGAATGTTGAACTGTCTGGCCCAAGTCAGACTGAGGACCACCATCAAATCAACATCCTTCTTCAGTGCTGGGTTCCCCAATCCTGTTCCCAGAACGGTACAGCTCGGCCCTGCTGATAATTTGCAGCCAGGGTTGAGAAGGCACATGACCTTCCCACTTCCTCTCTGCAATATCTGAGGTATCTGAATGTTAAACTACATCCAGAAATACAGCTCTAGGACTCTGCCTGTGAAACTTCTGAGCTTCACACAATACGCCTGCACTCATCCAAAGCTGCCCTACTTCTGTGTCTGCAGAAAACCCATCGGGAGGTGCAGTCACCGAAGGAGGGTGCTTAGAGAGCTTCACAGACACACACAGCCCCCGCGAGGCGGTCCGCGCTTATGAACGTCCCCAGGAGCTCCATCCTCACACGGAGCAATGGTGTTGTCTCCAGACTCATATACTCTGACCCTTGTTTCACCCAAAGAGCAGATGTGGTGGCTGGAAAGTAATCCTTCTCAGTTGTGTTTTCTTCCGATGCTGGTGGAGTGAGGAAACCAAACTGAAACCTGTCTTTGAATACTGACTTTGGACTCTACTTCGAAAGTTAATTAAGAGCAAAATTTTAGCAAGCCTTTACATTTCTTGAAGTTCCTCCAATTCGCTCATTTTTGTATAATTTATGAAAATGCTGTTTCCACAGAGATACATGCTGTTTTCTGTGTTTTATTTATTTTGCATAAGACGATGCATAATAGATGAGAGTAGGGTGACGCGTTTGTTTCTCATCACAGAGGGGCTTTCAAGAAGAGGCTGGCAGTGGCAAGCACGTGAGCTCCAGCGTGGTTTCCAGCTCGTCTCTTGTTGCAGACAGGGCTGTGAGTGAGCAGTGCTGGGAAGCTGCCATTCCCCGACGAGCCTCCTCCCCTCCTGCCTGTTCCCACAGTGCCTCCGTGCAGCTTGGCAGCATGCAGGGCTGAGCAGCCGTTGGAAGAGGCTTCAGGAGCAGAAGCCAATCTCGCCCTGTGCCCATCAGGAGATGTCGCTGTGGTGTCTCCAGCTACTTCACGCTGTCTCTGCTCTTCCCACAGAACAAAGCACTGGCAGAGAGGCTGCAAGGAGGAGCCTGGCAGCCACAAGGCCAACAGCAACCCGGCGTGAACCTGTCAGCAGGGGAGACGGGCGAGGCACGGAAAGGAGCCCTTGGCTGGATGGGAGGGACAGTGCCGCCCCCGCAGTGAGTCCCATACCCGAGTGGCACGTGTGTACCAGAAGGAGGAGTTTTCTCAATCACGGCCAGAAAGGTCCTCCTGTTGGACTTTCTCAAAGGTCCCCTGACTCAGCGTTGCTCTCATCAGTCCTGCAGTGTTACAGGTCTTCTGTGTGATATTTTGCTTCACTGTCTGTCTCTCCATAGATCACAAGAACCGCAAGAGGCAAAACCACGTCTCTCTGTGGCTTTGCCACTGTGCCTGCACTGACCTGAGACACAAGCATGTTTGCATGGCACACGCTGATATTTGCCACTGGGGCAGTGCTTGCTGTGCTCAAGGTGTGGTTCTGTGCTTGAATTTTATATGACTGTCATGTAATGCACAAGACCTCGATGACGGCATGACAGAAACAATATTCATTTTAGAGATGAGGAAGCGGAGGCTCAGACGACTTAGGTAACTTGCTAGAAGTCACACGGGTTACTAGTCAGGACTCACACTCAGCACATCCTAACTGCACAGCCTAGGGTTGTTCCCGCTCTGCCCTGCTGGTATTTTACCCTGCAGTCTGAAATTGGTAGGTTTTGCGAACTTCTACAAGCCTTCTTGAGATAAGGGAAAACACATTAGTGACTCAAAGTTTCAGTGAGTCCATGTGTGCACATAATCTGTACATGTATAGAAAAATATCGGAATTTTCCTTCCCTCAGAACAAACATACAATGCAGACGACCTTATCATTCTAATTTTCCCACTGAGGTTACAAAGGTGAAGTGTTTACATCTAGATCCATGGCATGTTGTCAGAGAGCAGCAGAGCCACTACCTGAATATAAGGTTCCAATACATCCCCAAATAACAGCCATGAGAAATTTCATAGATCCACATAACTGCGCTGGTCTTTTACTTCTGCAAAAGAGAGGCCCAAGGCATACTTCCTGAGGCTGGCCACACAGGTTGCATCTCCTCACCCATCATCAGGTCTTCGTATGCCCATTCCTGAATGTTTTCCTCCCAACTCCTTGTCCCATCTAAAAATATGGACAATTATTCTTTGCTTCAAAGTCCTGATGGTCAATACTGACTTACAATACTTCAGTTCTTCATGCATTGCAATGTGTGTATTTTCGGACAGTTAATTTTAAAGGATTGGCTAACTTGATTTCTTACTGGTTTCCCAAAACAAATAAGAACACTGACAAACAAACATGACTTCTTTAGAATCAGAATTTTAGTTAATATCCCCTTCCCTCTATCAGACAATTTTACCAGGTCGAAAAGAGCAGAACAAAGGATTCCCTGGAGATATTTATGTTTGATGACTCACTTTATCATCACATATGACACATAATTATGACTTTTTACAAGAAATAGCATAGGGGACATTTTACTCTTTCATCTTCAGCCATTGTTTTTAAATTTAAATAACTCACATCAAAGAACTTGGGCATGAGACCTGAAAGTATCGCCAAGCAATATTGTGCAATATGCCTGCTATGCCAAATGCATTTGTATTCACATTCTCTTCAAAGGGCATGGAAGGAGGCTGGCGAAGGGGAGTGGTCCTAGGATGCAGAGGAGCATCTTGAATATGAAATTCTCTTTATACGACACTTTTGCCAGAGTTAGCATTTCCCTGTGTTCATTTTTCTCTGAGGCATACCTATGGTTTGAGAACACCAAATGCACACTTAGCAATTTCTTGAATGAACTTGGTGTGGAGCAGGTGGGTGGATCACCTGAGGTCAGGAGTTCGAGTCCAGCCTGGCCAACATGGCAAAACCCCGTCATTACTAAAAATACAAAAATTAGCCAGGCGTGGTGGTGCATACCTGTAAACCCCACTACTGGGGAGGCTGAGGCATAAGAATCGCTTGAACCCAGGAGGCAGAGTTTGCAGTGAGCCGAGATTATGCCACTGCACTCCAGCTTGGGCTACAGAGCGAGACTCCATCTCAAAAAAATAATAAATAAAATAGAAGGACAGTACTTGGAAAATACAAGTGAAAAAATAAAGTCCTACATGCATAATCACAAAAGCAGACTCCAAATTCTGCATAGGTTGGTGCTATGGATTGAATATGTTGGGAAAGACATAACCTTTTCCAATCATCACCTGTAAAAGGAGGGAAGATGATGGCACAGAATGGCCATGAAGATAAAGAAGAAGGATGCAAAGCTCTTTGTGAATGATCCTGAAATGCCAAAGTCACTTAAGACGTTCAGTGTCTTCTTTTAACACAGTGCATTGATTTTAATCACTAACGTACCTGTGACCAGCAGAAAGCACTGAAAATCAGGACAGCCTTTGAGATCGAGGGAACTCGGGGATAGAGGCTTCGAGCCCACAGCCCGGCAGCTCCCAGGCCCATCTGTTATGCAGCACAGGTGACCTCCATCATCAATCTTTCCTCAGGGCTAATTGTAACAGCTGATTCCATTTCTTCCTGAGGGTCCAGGTCGTTCGTGAGCTG